GACAGGTCTGATATTAAGCTGTACCACCACAGGTATACAGAAAACCACATTATCACTGCAAGGCAATGACTTCAAGCAAGTCATAGAGGGTTAATACAGGTCCCACACTCAACATCTTTAACAAGTTTCACTCCCACAATTAATTCACTGCATTCTAGTGCGCCCAGGTCTATCAGCAGAGTCTGCATTCACATATTTCATAACCAGATTATACACTGAGAATCACTAGATGACATTGACTAGACTTCCAGGTATCACAGATCAAGAAATGGGTCAGAACAAGCCAGTAAGGACACTGGCCATGTCTGCTATTGCAGTCTTCAAAAATGTCCTAAAATGTTGTTGGGTTTTCAAGTCTAGCCCTGTGCCTTAGCCAGGACAACACAGTCCCACAGCAAATTTTATTATCCCGTACATTTTATTATCCCATGGTCACCTTCAGAGGTGGAGCCAGAAGCCAGGCAGAAAGCCCCATTCCACCAGTGTACCTATGCATATCCCATCTCATGCACAGGAGCAGTCTTAATCTAGAGGAGAAAGGGCAGACAACTCCATACATGAGCCCCTACAACTCATCTTTCTCAATGTCAACTTCCAACAAGAAGTACACTGGTTCTACCTCCATTACAATGCCCCAGCCTTGTTTCTAAGTTAGCTTTGAGGCTGCGGGTGCACGAACACCCTGTTGAAATCCGGCTGACACCAGATCACTGTGCAGGTTTCCAGAGCCACACAGACTCACTCCCAGTCCGCCTCTGGAGCTCTGCAGAAGGGCCCAGGCAGCAACATCTAATGGGCTGCTGCCAGTCACTGTATGGATAAAGACTGATTGCTTCCAAAAGGGAGAGGCAAGAGGTTCACCAAGCACCAGTGTTTCTTCCTCTAGAACACTTTGGAGTATCTGTATCTAATACCCTCTGGAAGTGCAGAGCTTCTCTGCTTTCAGTTTCTCTGCTAGTAGGAATTACCAGACAGCTTTCTGAGCAGTTCATCTGTGCCATAATACAACTCCAGTCTCCCAGGTGCTAGCAAGTAACTGATGGGCAACAACCTATACCTCTTCAGATTAACAGACAAACTTGATTACAGTCAAGTCACAATTAAGTTCCTTTACAGTTGCAAAGCCTCTATGTTCACTTTCACACACAGTTTTCCCTTAATGCACTAATTCTTTAATGATACTGTATGAAACCTTTTGGTTTACCTTTAAACCAAGTCACAATTTTGCAGTCATAATAGGTTGTTCAAATATCTGGTTCAGTAAAATGAGAATTTATGATTGATGGAGGTCACATCTTAATCCTAAAGGACACGGTACACTACTGACCATGTTATAACACAGAAAGCCATAAGGGCTGAGTAAATATGTTTTCACTGTTATAACATGACTGCATTTTGTAGTGGTTTTGAGTAGCTGAGCACATGTTTTCATAAGTATTTTGTATAAACATTTTCATTAAGATCAAAGCTGGTATGTCTTGCTTCCCTTATACTCTTAGGCAAAGGTGTTAGCTTTCCTGAACTGATACAAGCAAAATAAAGTTTTGGGTCAACTGTACTCTTTCTCATAAACTGCGATCGTGGTAAAAGCATGTGTTTGCAACCCAGATGTCTCCCTCCAGTAAAGAAAATACATCACACCGTTGGCAAAAGGATTTCTGGACAGTGCTTTTGCAAGTTGCCAGACTTCCTTAACTATGAAATGGAACGGATCACCAGATCTCAGAGGAAGTAATTATGGGAACCTACACAGGGAACTTAGAACCAATTAACCTCAAAGTCAGAGTGGTCACCTTGTAATGACT